GCGATTCGCAAAGTCTGACATCGGCCTAATTTTGCCTCGCCCACAGTGGGCGGTACATCGAAATGAGCTATTCTGACGACATGTTTCAAATTCGATTGCAAAACAACTTGAAGACCGGAAAAATGTGGTAAGGTGTGCATTAATAAGCCAGATCAAATTATGGAGACCCATTTCGATAGGCAGGGCGCGATCAAAAAAACGGTGCTCAATGAAAAAATTTGTAACTGGGTCAAGAGAAAGACTACAAAGCAGAAAAATTGGAGCAGGGAATCACTGCTCAAAGTGTTCCACCATCACCAGCATGTGAGCCAAGGCTCGTCCACAGTGGGTGAAGAGCGTCTTAATACGTTGGCAACGGGCTGACGCGCATGCTCTTCAGCATTTTGGTACCAATTTTTTCGACATGCTCGATTCTTTCCCAAATTTTTTGTGCTTATTCTATAGGCCATACATTAACATACTCAAAAACCACATGGCTCACAGAATGGCCAAATATAGTTTGGCAGAGGTTTTCCAGACCTTACGAAATGTCTGTTCAGTTCATTCCTCGTTTTCTTTTCATTAACGTAAACATGTAGATAAAAAGAATAATAGAAGTGAATACAAACCTATTCGTATGGCAAGATATGTGTTTTTACTGAAACAACCACGTCCAAAATAATTTTGGAACCACTAAAGGGAAATAAGTGAGAATTTTGTCTTTTAGGCAAATAACACTGTCATTTTGGCCTACCGACATTACTGGTAAACTCCCCGACAGCCGGGGTGTAACGCCCACATAAGAAGCACCTCATCGAAAACACTCTAGTCTTCTGAGTACTGGCCATATATTACAGTGAAACACCGTTTTCCTACAGGAGACGAGGTTAATGGTTGCGAGAAAGTCTCATGGCTTCCCATTAGGGAGCGGGAGAAAAGGGTTTACGGACTAAATGAAACTTTCTTGTATGATCCTATCACGAATGGCGGAGAACAGACAATCGAGAACGGCGCCTAGCTCCGCTTCAAGTCTTAAAAGTGATGCTGAGAAGGGGAGGGACTCTGGGTTGGGTGAGGCAATCACAGTATGGAAAGTTTGAATGTGTAGGTCAAAACAGTCATCGACCCTTGACAGTGTGCGAAACAGCGCACGATGAGAGCAAAGATTTCAGCCGGTTAAAGGAAGCGATTACGATAAGGAATTTTCGCATCGGGGAGAACCTGCGCCACACGGAGCAATTACTTGGCTGCCAAGGAAGCGATGTGTGGTCCTCCCACGGCGAAAGGTGCTGTGGTTGCTGAGCAGGACCCGTGTGACGCTCCGCCCCCAGTGACGTGACGCCCACTAGTTTTGTTGATGATCTGGATGGACTGTTTGCTGTTGGCTTTTCATTTTGGATGATCATTTCCCTTCTAGCGGCTGTATCTTCCAACTTGCCCACGTATTGCCTCATCAATCAAAACACTATGCTTGTTGGCATGATGGCGGCTATCGGGGTTAACACGTCCGAACAACGTTCGTTCTTTACCGTCGCTCGCGTCATGTCGAGCGGAAGTGTGTAGTGGACAAGTGGCCGCTCACCACGCGAAGCGGTTCGGGATCAAATGCCTATGGTCTCGTGAGTCAGGCCGCGACGCACAGACCAAAGCCTCGCTATCCGCCCCCGGTCGGCTAATAAAACGACTATACGGAGACTTGTCTGGGAGGATAAAAACACTGACTTGTACATCGGCTGGCCCCCGCAAGTCATTGTATAGGCCACATCGCATTCAAAAGCCACTGCGAATGTACAAATGGAAGTAGAATGCGTGCCGCATCCCAAAAAGGGACTGATCAACGGCAAATGCGGCGCAAATGGACTTTTAATCCTTAAGTATCCATAAGTCGACAATGGACAAGGGCAAACGAAAGGAGTTGGTAACGATTTTGCCGTTCATTAATATCGAGAACGGCCGATTCTTTGCTTTTTTGTGTCGGTCCATTCGGCGGTACTGGATTGAACCCCCACGTCCCCTCCAAGCGCCTATTGAGATCTAATCGTGATCGTTCCTTTAAAATGGACGCGAGTTCAAGTAGTCCTACGACTCGAGATGTGGATGGGTATCAGAGAAAAGAAGAGAAAGAATAGACAATTGCTATTGGCCTGGCGTTGGTATACCAAAATAAACGACCAGCCCAAATTGATATGTGTTCAGAGCAGTTTCAGAAGACGAAAAAAGGACTACCGCTGGCGAAGGAGGAGGATCAAAAATCATCAGTAGGTGGGACACGTACCGTAATAAGCGGAGCTTAATTCAAAATCGCCATATGGTCCAGAAATAACACGGAGACCGAGAAGATAGCGCACGTAGAGTGTCCCAATAACAAAGTCGGAATATTCAAGGGAAAAATTCATCGAAAAACCAGAACTCCTCACGCGTAATGAAAAAAGCGAAGGATACTGAGCGAGCGGATCGGTCCCTTGGCGTCGATCCTGCAAATCCGCCTTTTCAACCTTTACGCCATCACGCCACTTGCAGGAAAAAAATTCGCAATTTTGCTCATAGCGACGTTCAGCAGATTTGGAATCAGCGTCTGGAGAGGCTTCAGGTAATACACATCCCATTTCAAACGCCAACCTCGACCTACCATCCTTCCTTTGTTAGTTCCCATCAGAAGGAGAAGTTCGACTGTTTACAGCGCCTACCATAGTTCGCCGAAATAAAGAATCTTTATGAGTGAACAAATTGCTAGCCGTTTTGTCAGGTCACTCAAATGTGAGGCGAATCTATGGCACAAAGGCTTGGATGGAGTGGCAATTACACGCGAACGACCCGAGAGCAATTCCTAGATCAAATCCATCTAGGACCCGACAACATCTCCATCCTTCGAGATATTTAATAGATACCAGATTTGTTTGGAAAAACAAAAACATGACTTGTGTATTGACTAGTTGCACAAGCTAAATCGCATTCAAGCGCTGATTTAATTCCGAATCGCAGTCAGATGCGTGGCGAATCCAAAAAGTAACTGACCGCTGCCGACGAAAGCCCTATACTTTATGCCATTTTACAGCATCTCTAACAATTTCTGCACTAACTCTAGCTTTTCTTACGAACGATATTTCGAGTGGGCTCAAAGACCTGACGGAATGCTGTCAGATTTGCTGTGACAGGAGGACGGATCTTTTGCATGTCGTTATATCAATCAATTGTTGAGCGAGTTGTAGGATTGAGTGAGCAGTTGTCTCGTAGTCCCAACCTCTTAATTGATCTCAACATAGCTGATCCGATGATGTAATGACACAGAAAGCCTCTCTGGCCTCTACTCCTAATGTCACAATTCGCAAAACTCCTCCGCCATACTCAACAGACATGGGTAATAGGCAAAGACAAGTGTGCTATGGATAACGAGGAGGTGACACCTTCAAGACAATCGCATATCAACTGAGAAAGACTGACAAAGATTAGCGCCTTTCACTTCAACTGCGGTAGATTGGACTTTTGAGAAAGACGAACTGAAGTGAACTAAGATCGGTCATGTCTTGTTAGTATTGAAAATTTCATTGGTATATCTTGTAATCCAGCTGGACCTTTCCCCGGTAACCCGTTTTGATGGGAAATTGGTTATAAATGGCCCCCATAAGGGTGTCCAGCAGTCTTCTTACTACTATTCCTATTCATGTACTGCACCTGTCCGTGTGTTCGGGATAGCCTGACTGCAGCATATTCCTCTAATAAACTTTATGACCCGTTCTTGTCATTCCGAGGGACAAAAAAGGAGGGGACACCGTTTCACTAAAACTGGTCCAAAATCCTCCCTGTCTGCTCCCGCAACTAGTACGAGGCACAAGAAAGCGAAATAACCACAAATATGCCGCTTTTCAGGAAAAAGAAAACAGAAGTTGGAAGTTCTTAGTGCTCCTTCTGAAATCTATCCACTGGCTGCCCAATATTATCTGTAGGGAGCAAGCAAACAAATATAAAATAAAAAAATGAGCTGTTCCAGGAATAAAAATTTTTTAGCTGGCTCTTCAAACATATGCAGGTAATTATGCTGCCAAGGCAAAGTTCTAAAACAAAAGCAAATAAAGACAAAAAAAGATAAGCATAACTTGTAGCGCATAAGCCCGATAAGCGAGAGGTGCGAGTTCGAGTCCCGCCTGGGGTAACGGTTTTGTTCAAAACCCAGCAATCTTGTGAAATTAAAAAAAGGTTCTCAAAGAGTTAGCGGAGACAGAGATGAGGGCTGGCAAAAGTGTCAGGTCGCGTAATGTGAGATGTGACAGTATCGTGGCAGAAGTGACAGCAGAAGGTACGGTACTTGAACTCTTAGAGAACACTGGTTCTTACCTGAAGGATGAGCGACTCCAATCACTCGCGGTAAGCCTCTTGAACCTCTGCACTGAAGAGGTAATTGCAATCGAACATCTTCACAAAATGTCAGCATCACAGTGTCATCTAACCGAAGATTCCTGGAAATCGTTCAAGATAGTTCTCCAAAAATAAGTTCATGAAAGAGATTAAAAAATCAATTCAATCAATAATTCCGATCAAAAAATCAATTCACCTGTCATCAGTGCTATCATCACAAGTGTTATTATTGGAACATGCACAGAGCTCGAACGTTTTCGTGTCCGGGGTTTGAGTGTAGTCAAAAGTAACGGAAGCGAATGCTTCATCGTATAGCGGCACCAAACCCGAACCCCAACCCGACGAATCGTCTTCAATAACAGGATAGGTGTCGACCCGAACAGAACAAGCCTGCACTCGGGTGCAAATAGGTAGTTGAGATAGAGAGAGCTGTGGAAGAATGCACAGAGCCACCAACACCGCCGATCGCCACAACATCGCGCACATATGACTAGGGGCGGGACTAACCCAGAACCTACGTAACACTCACACACATCACTCCTCATCATCGCGTACCGTGGGAATTTCAGGCATTTCAACTATTTCCTCAATTTCCCTTCCCCATGCTCTAAAATGCTTTTCTACTCTGATTGTGAAACAAAAATAGGCGCAGGTGTGGTCGAGTGGGGCATCGCTACGTGGTCTGACGCTAGGAGGAGGGACGGAATCTCGGGGAAAATCGAAATTGCTTTGCACACCCACCCTCTTAATCTCCCTAAGGTTAACTTCTAAGGGGGGGGGACGGCTAAGGAAGCTTGTCTGGGCCCTCTTCATGGTAATGCTCCACACGACAACACCAGCGCTTAAAAGAAGATCGTTTAGTTGAATTCG